AAAAGGAATAAATGTGGGGGCATCATGATGACCCCCCACACACACACATGACTTGGGGGGCGCTTTCAGAGTTACCAAGACTTCCCATCTTTCAGAATTGTATGAACTCATCATTGCTGAGGTAAGAGTCCTCATTTAAGTGAATAATATCTATACCTAACTTGAAATACAAATATACCTTCTAAACCTCTGAGTGTTTTCAAAAAAACTACGAATTACATTTGTGTCCCTTATAACCTTTAACATTCAACAAAGGCAATCAGTATGACTATTCAAACTTTGCAAAAAGGGAAATAAATTATGAAACTTAAGTCAGGACCTTTTTTCAGCTTTTGCTGTTTGCATTTTTAAGAAATAACTTACTTATTTTTCCAGTATTTAACATTTTTTAAAATGTGCTAGAAGTTCCATGGTCTGCCTGTAGTGCTCTTTATCATAAACTTGAAGCAATATAATAGCATTGTCCTTTAATAAAAACCAGGCATTTTAGCACTGAAATTTTAACATGCTCATGTTTTGTCTTATATTAGCTCATTATTATTTTCTCGTTTTAGCTTATGCGGCATTTGGTGTACAGTGCGTTTAGTGAGAAGTATACTTTTTGTTGCTGTTTCTGGTAGGGCAAGTAAAGCTGAAGGAAGTAGAAACATCCTGTTGTTGTCTGAGTGACTAAATTCCTGATCAATAGTGTGATAAAGGCTTCTGCAGGAACATAAAATGCAGCTCCTAGAAAAGCTGTTCCCCTGCCATACTCAGCAGAGAAAGCATTATTACAATCCCCATTTATCAGGAGCAGTCAAGGTATAGAAACTCAACGGGGTCTTGTGTCTTAGGCGTTAGGGATACCAGCCCTAGAAAGACTCAACCATTGTGTATTGCTATGTATTGAGCCTCCTTCCAGGTGGCAAACAGCTGCACCTTTTTATAAATCTTCAAAATAAATCTTCAAAAATAAATTCAAAGTGCTTGCTTTCAGCCGATAAGTGTTATATTTAATTGAACCATTCTGCGAATGTTATAGCTCAGGCACCCAGAAAGATGGTGAATATTTATTATATTTGTTTTGTATTTCCACCAGTCAGCAGAATAATGAAATTCCTTAACTACTTCTCTTTAACTTGCCTGAAGAAAGCACGGTATGTTGCTAAATCGCTTTTCACTAGCCCTGCCGAGAAACAACTTTAATCCTTGTTAGAAAATTGCAGAGTCTGGGCCTGACAAAGAGCTCATGCCTGGCGCATTGTGAGTGCTGGGAGCGGGGCGAGGGGAGCCCTTTACAGCTGCGTGCCTCCAGCCCGTCTGAGCTGGACTATTTAGGAGAGGAGGTTTGTCAATTCCTCCTGACAATGGAACGAGTTTTTCAGTGCCTGTAGCTGCGCCGAGCCCCGTTGGGGATCAATGCTGGCCATTCAAGCTGCACCCTCTTTCATTGCTTTGGTTTGTTAATTTAAGACTAAAGGTCTGCTGAGGGGGTTTAGGGTGTTTAAGAAAGCTGATGAACTGTTTAAGAAATCTGATGAACTGAGAGCGTTTATAGCCCTGGTGTGGCAACTATTGGCACTGAGGGAGCTGTGTCCTTGTTGACCCTCTTGTTATTAAAAATGCACAAGTGCTGCGCTTCTCAATATTTCAACACTCTTTCATTGTCAATACCACCTTCTGAGCCCTTCAGCTTGTTGCTTGCTCTAAAGATCTTCTTAGATTGGGTTTGAAAACTTCACCTTAAACACTAGATTAGACTGATGTTCTGTTTTCCGTGCTCCTGTTGATTTGTTGAACCTTCCCAGGGCTGGAAAGCAAGTAGCAGCTTGATGGGGAGACGGGCTGCTAATATGATTTACCAGTGTACAGTCATGCACAATAAGTGTGAATGAATACAAGGGTCTCACAGAGTCAACCCTAGCCTTTCCTTTTCTCTTATTTTTTACTTTGAAAGAGGTATCTCAGGAAAATGAAGTGAGTAATGCATGCCCTTACAGGAGTTGGATGGGCTGTGAATAAGGAGAGAGGATGAAATAGCGAGGCTAACATTTTTGTTAAAGTGGTTGGCTGCTGTTATTTACTGATTTGGAAAAAATGTATCATAAGCACTTACTGCTTTACTCTTGCATAGACAATAGCAAAGAATGTGACAGTAGTACCATATAATGAACATCTGCAAGAGACACATTATCTTTTCACTGCTATTGTTACTAATAGGAAAGTTACTTTTTCCTAAAACCAGTTAAAAACAATTGTTGTTGTTGCTGTCAGTTTAACTGGGTAATCTCATGACAATTATCCAATCACTGAAGTTTTGGGGTTTGCAATAGATTGCCATCAGTCACAGTAGATCCATCCCTGTCTCTCTAACATGCTCATGGTTGTCAAAATGTGTGGCCTGGGATTCTCTGAGAGGAATTTGCAGTGCTGTTCTCAGCACTCAAAAAGAAGTTATAGGGAAATCTTTATTTTCTAGTTATCCAGCAGATTTAAGTTTATGCAGCTTCAGTTATACTAAGTCCTCAAAACTAGTGGATGTAAGACCAATCATTAACAAGAATCCTACTCATAAGTATCTCTGTGAGGATTCTACAAATATACTAGATGTGATTTTTATTAAAAATATGGTGACAATTAAAAATAAAAATACATTTTTTTCTAGTAGAACAGTAGTCATATTTTTTCTGAACAAGATGTGTTGACAGAAGAGCATGTACTGTAGTATCATTTCACAATCACCAAATTACACATTTGTACTGAAATTTTAATGCATCAAAGCTAGTCAAAAAAGCATATTATATTGCTTTCATTCATTAATGAGTAGAAAAATAATTTCCTCCAATATCTTAGCTTTTTTTCAGTGCATGTAAGAATATTACAGGTATGTAGAGTTCAAGTTTTACTGCATCCATCTTAAATAAGTTTCCTAGCTAGGCTTTAAAACATTTTGCCAGAAATCTGGAACAGTCTATTGTCAGTAATCTGTCCCTGTTCAGTATTGTTGCATGGGAAAATCAGTCTCAGAATTTTCAATCCTGTCTGGAGGTTGTTTGTCTGAGCAAGTTTGAGCCCATTGTGTTTTCTACTTGATACATACAAAATACATAATGGATGCATTACTGGAAGAATATCAGTTTTCAAAAAGCTCCCCTACTAAAATAGTTCTCTTTACTAGGATTGTGTGTGAGTGATAATATAATTTCTTGGCTTACTGGTTGCATTTGGATAGAATATTTGATGTAGGAAATTTTATGTTTATTTAGATCAATAGAGTTCCCCAATTAATAAGTACAATTGTATTTTATTCTCTAGACATCTGTATACATACAACACCTGTCATATAATTTACCACTTAGTAACAAGTCTCATTAAAAATATTTTGCAGGTACTTACAAAAGAAATCAATACCAGCATGCATGTTAGGAATGAAATAATGTAAATAGGATAAGAATTCATTCAGCGATTTAAAACCAATATTTTATGGATATCTAATCAGTCCCACATTTTAGTGACTAAATCAAACTTTATGAAATATGTAGCTGTCTGCCTTTTTTGTGGTGCGTTTTTTAACTTCTGTAAAATAGCAAATTAATAGGAGAAACTCTAAAAAGTAGAAGTAATTTATTTTCAGTGATTTATAATTAAAATACAATTGAACACATTCAAAAAATTAACAGAAGAATTATTAGATTAATATCTAATTTCATATATCTTAAAACTGATAGTTACATTGTGATGAGACTGTTCCCTGTAAGGAAAAGGTATTTGTAGTTATTTACTGTATGTTTTTCAAGCTTTTTACAGCGAGCTTACATTTTGATGGAAGAATTCTATTTCTTTCTTTTGTAACATCCAGTAGAAAGTAATTTGTCTTCAATATATATTTTCACTGTATAATTTATATTTTTTTTTATATGGAGGTGAGTAATGAGACATGTCAGATACTTCCTTTGAATTACTTTCACAAAATATACCTGCCTAACATGAGGCATTTTAAAATAGGCACATGATTTCCTCTCTTTGCATATCTCTGTATTTTGCAAAGACACAGGAAATTATACTAGATAATGATTTAAGCCTCTTTCCTGAGGGAAAAGAGACTAGATACAGAGCTATGACACAAACTCTTTTAATCTCTCACTGTTAAAATGAAAAAAAAAACAAACCTTCCTTTTTACAGTTTGACTAAATGACATCTGGTTGTGATTTTACAGGAGGGGAAAAATGCTACAACTATATTTAGTAAAATCTCTTCTAATCCAGTTAATGTGAAAGAACTATTACAGCAGCTATTTGGAACTGAGCATTTTTTACAGTAACATAGACACCAACAGCAGAGGGCTTATTCTTAACCCATCCATTTGTGAAGTGTTGAGTGAAAATATACCCATGCCTAAGACATAAAAAAGAAATAAGGTAGGCTGTAATTATAATTAGTAATTAATGTAAAACAAAACCTTAATATAGTTATTTTGGGGAGGGTGGAGTAGTGTTTTGATCATATTTAAAAATAGTTTCCAGGGATTTTTGATATTTTTTTACTTAATGATGGAGTGATTAAAAAAAAAAAATAAAGAAAAAGACAAATTCCTTTTTCTCTGGTACTGTTTTCCTGTTTGGATTGAAAAATCTAGTTATTGTAAATTCTCTCTCAAGATACTCTGCCTGTTTCTATCCTTGCTGTTTTAGCTGTCAATTCTCTCCTGTAATTGTATCTTTAATATCCATTCTCACTGACAGATAACAAAGTGCATAACGCTATTTTGCTTGAACATGTTGTAACTGAAAGATAAAATGGCAGGTGCTAATTCGTGTAAAGAATGGTTTAGGTCAAGTTATTTGATTTCCTACTGACCCATGCAATTCTCATAACAGGAAATTATATCATTGTTGACTTCAAGTGCTGATCTGTGATCATTTCAAAGTGTTTCATTACCTCTCATTACCAAATCTGTTAAATGAATACTGCAGGGTTATTTGGTGGTGTTTGTTGTTGGTTTTTTTATCCTTCTTTTCAGCAATGGTATAGCAACTCCATGAAAGTCATATGCATGTGGTTGGCTGACAGATTAGACGTTCAGCTTCACATCTACCAGCTGAAGACTCTCATCAAGATAGTGAAGGTAAATAAAATGTGTTCAGATTAAACTGCATAGTAAAGAGAGAAAAGTAATAAAGTAATAACATGGAAAATCAACCCAGAAGTTAAGAAAATGTGGAATGAAGTTGTAAACTAATGTAATATAAGGTTGGGATTTTTTTTCCCCACAGCTGTAGCAAATTCCAGAAGTAAAATAACTTATTAAACTCCTTAATGTTAATTATATGTGCAGTAGTATTTGTCATAAATTCTGGACTTGGGGACAATTAAGATAGTTCCAAGGAATTTTGCAGCTAGCTGTATAGCATTGCTGTATGATTATTCTTATTAAACTTTCATTTGTCTTGTTACCAATTTTTTAGTTTACCTGAATAATTTCAATAGCGTTCCTTCTCCATTTTCCCTTTTCTCCTAAAAAAAGAAGTTATTTTCTTCTTTATGCGAGTGTAATTACTAGGCTTAATTGAAAACAGTATTAAATGCATTAAGTAACATTTTCTAATCTGTGATACTCAGAAGTAAGTATCAATAGAAATACCAGTCCCTCCACTTCAGTCCTCAGTTTTTTACATTGGCCAAAGTCAAATGCTTCCAAGTAGAGTGCAACATGCATTGCAATAGGCAATTATGGGTTAGCCTACCATGAAAGAAGTTTCCTCCTAACTCCATTTCAGATCGTAGTCGATACCCTTAGGCAAGAGACAGAAAAACATTTCAGATCTTTTTCTTTTTAATTCTGTCTTGTTCAACTTTGGACATTCTTGTTATCTGTGCAAATGTGCAGTAAGAAACACCTGTTGTCAGTGGTGACCTCAACTTCTTAAAAATATTTTTTCATTAAGTTCTTGCAAGACTATAAAGTCAAAAACATTTTAACTAATGGGCACCGGAATTGCAACTGCAGCTTTCAGGATTCACTAGTAAAAAAGGAACAGAACAGAGAGAAATGCAAGAAAACTGTCATAATAATGATGGCATCATGGCTCCAGGCTTAACTTTGCTGGTTTTGACTGGAATTTCTCTGGGAGCAGAATTTGGCTCTTCACTTGATTGTGTGCCCAAATGGCAAAAGCAGTTTGCTGTTCATTGTTGAAATTAATGGCTTGTGTGAAAGGTTTAAAGCTATTCTCAAAGAATCACAGAATCATAAAATGGTTTGGGTTGGAAGGGACCTTAAATATTACCTTGTTTCAACCCCTCTGCCATGGGCAGGGACACCTCTCACTAGACCAGGTTGCTCAGAGCTCCATCCAGCCTGTCCTTGAAGACTTCCAGGGATGGGGCATCCATAGATTATCTGGAAAACCTGTTCCAGTGCCTCACCACTCTCACAGCAAAGACTTCTACAGATTCTAATTTAAACCTACTCTCCGTTTTAATCCATTCCCTCTTGTTCTATTACTCCATGCCCTTGTAAAAAGCCCCTTTCCAAGGCAGATATGATACCCTGAGGAAGACAATCAGCATTAGAGGATCTAAACCCTGTACCCCATGAGATCTAAGAATGGGCAGGCTAACTCGTACAAGAGAAATATCACCAGGGAGATTAGAGGAAATTTGCAAAACTGAAATTCAGGTGAATGAGCAGCACTGCCAACCTGCCTTCCCTCTGCCACCTGGCACACTGGTTAGCCTTGTTCAAAAGCTCCCAATGGAGGTGGGAACACTGCTTCTGGCAGTGGCCTTTCTGGGCCCATATACCTGGTTTGCTCTGCATGTAAATTCCAACTGTGTTATTCTGTGGCACCTTCTGTGGATATTAAAGATTGAAAGTGATGATGTCAATTATATTGGTTCTGGAAAACAGAAAATTTTGTGGACCTTGGTTTTGGAGGGTGAAGATAGAACTCAGGAGCTCAGCAGACAGGAGGCTACTGGGAAATACAAAACAATGGTTCAAAAAGAGTATCATAAGAAACTTTATCTGCTTCAGCCCGGCTGCAGAGAGACATGGGGAGGCACAGTTCTTCCAAACTAGAGTGAATGAAGGCACGTTTGTGGTTGCTTTAGGAAAAAACAAACAAAAACAAACAAAAACACACACAAAAAAAGCTAGGAATCTGTATTGCTCCGATCACCTCTTAAAAATATTTTTAAATTTTTTAAAAATAAAAATTTAAAAAATCAATCAAACCCCAAATAAATAGGAGGTCATTTTTGAAGGACACAGGATGAGTAAGAGAAATATAATTCTTCTGGATTTGGATGTGACAAGAGTAGTAGCATTATTAAGAAAGCATAGAAGAAGAAACATTGTTCCCTTTATTCTCTTTAAAGGCTCATGATGGCATAAGGGTTTCATTAGATGTCTGAGACATGTGCAGAGGGATGTGACTAAAGGAGGGTCAAGGACAAAGAAAGTTAGGGAGAAATGAAAAATTAAGCTTGGAAGTGAACATTATTATCCTGCAAAACTATGTCAAGCGAAGAGCAATGTCTGAACCCCAGAGTGCTGGTCTGAGAATGGGAAGAATACAATGTAAAAGTGAAGGAAATTGCTGTAGGACCCGTTAACAGCATCAAAGCAAATTGAATGCACAGTGTTATAAAAAGGGAATGCAATGGTGACACTTGAAAAAGAACAGGCAGGGTACTCGCAGAAGTGTGTGAGCAAAACACAAGCTGCATCCATTGACTCTGACGTTGACCTAGGAAAGTCAAATAAATCTCAGTTGCAGTGATTCAAACAAGGTTTAAATAATCATCATAGTGGCAGAAAAAAAAATCTCACAACTGAATGTTACCCATTTTAAGAGTGGTCTTTTGCAGTTCTCTGAGGTATTGAGTGAAACAAGATCAAATCTTTTCTTTATCCAAGGGTTGTACATGGTCTTCTCCTCAGGCAGAGGAATGGACCTGATAGCCCTTAATTATCTTCCATTTTCTTTTTCCCATATTCTCTTCCAAAACATTCAGAATTTGTAGTGAGAGCATACACAAAATAAAGAACTGCCTAGATCAGTTTGTCCTTTTTAAGTCTTTAAGGGTAACATAAGGAAAGATCATTTCAAGTATGTTACAATTTAAAATAAAGTACACAGGTGATTTTCCATGTGCTTACTTGAACACAGAATTAATGAATAAAACAATTCCACTCAGAATTCTTATATGATGGAAGAACAAAGTAGTATTTGCTTGTTCATAGGAAGGTTGAATACCAGGGAAACAAAATCTTCTGAAATGAAAAAAAAGTAGATGTGAATCAAAATGTAGGGACTTAGAATGTAAATTAAGTAGGTAGTTACCTGAAAAATTCTGACACTATATAGTATAGATCATAATTGGTATTCATTATTGCCACATTTGGCATATAAATGTAAAGAGAAATATAAATAAAATTACACTATGGGGGAAAGGTCAGGCATGTACATTTTCTGTGAAATGACAGAACTGAACTACCTGTAGCCAAATTCATATTTCAGTAGGTATTTAGAGAAATTCTCAGCTGGTGTCTTATTGGATAAATGAAACAAATGGAAGTTACTGAGAAATCAGCAGTTAGACTATGCTATAACACAAAATACAACCTATTAAAGGAATTACCATAAAATCAGAATCTCTAGAGTTTGTAGAAATCTCATGCAGCCCAAAAACTAAGACCGCAAAATCTTTATCAAGGTGATAGGTCCCTAACCTGCAGGAGGAATAAACCTGTTCCACTGGCATGCTAGAAATGGCCAGTGTATAGTGAAAAAGTACTCAGACTTGCTGGAGTCCAACTCAGGATGTTTTACTTTTGCCACAGAAAACCTACCGAGACTTCAGGTTGCAAGGCGTGATGGAGGGGACGCTGAACAGTAAAACCTACGACACCGTGCACAGCCGTCTGACTGTAGAGGAAGCCACAGTCTCAGTCACGGATGCAGGAGGACTTCAGGGCATTACAATGAAAGACAGTGATGAGGAGGAAGGATGATATTATTTCACAAAGCATTCAGAGCTGGTGGGTGATGGTCTGAGGGTGGGATTTATCTTTGCCTTGGGGTTTTTTGGTAACTTGTCCTTGTAATTGCATTTATGGTTTTGCCTTATGATATCGGTGCAGAAATGTAATTTGCTCCATTAAAAAAGAAAGTAAGATTATCAGAGGAAAAGTGCCAAGGACTTTTTGAGAATAATGGTTGTAGCATATTTTTATGTATAGCTTTGCTTAGGGCTGCAAGAACACTGGCATGGAGTTTGAGTTCCACTTGTGATTACATTTATTTCCCTTTTGTTTGCTACCATTCATTCTTGTATCTCCATCTGATATTGATGTCCTGTGCAAAAACAAGATGTGTGTCTCACTTAAAACACAGCTATAAAGGAAATCATCCTTGGAATGAGTCAATGCCCTAGGTAAAAAAAATAGTGTATTTTCAAGATTACAAATTGTTTACCTTTTTTTTTGTGCTTAATTTTACATTATTATGTGATGTGCATTAAAAATTTTAATCTTGGTTCTTTGTATATTGAGACATATATAAGCAGAAGAACTTCAAGGACAGTCAAACATACAAACTGCTTAAGAGTGTCGTGTCTATTCATTTTGCAAGTTTAAAGATATCTCATCCTGTTGGATGTCAGTAAGCTTGCCATCTATGTTTGTATTTCTGTGAAAATTTTCAGGCAATAAGAACACATTTTGTCGTGGCCATTTATGTATCTACCCAAGTTTGTATAGAATTCTACAATTAAAAGATGTTTTCAGTATTTCAAACAATTTGAAGCATTGTATGATTCCTCATGAGAATGGCATTTTTGAATTATTTCATTTACATAGTGATTTATAGCAAATATGTTTGTTTCTTTTATAGAGCAGATACATATAGCAAACAAGTAACCAAGGACACAGTGCATTGATAAAGGAAAAAAGCAAACAAAAACCCCTTAGTAGCAGATGAACAGACAGGGCCCACTGCCTACTTTTTGATGCCCTCAGGACAAAGTAGAAAGAACTCAAATTTTCATCAGTCAAAACTCATGCAAACAGATACCAAAAAATAAAGCAGCTTTTTTTTTTTTTTTTTTTTTTTTGTGGGAGCATGACTAACCCCTGAGTTTTAGTACACAAAATCAGAAAGAACACAGATGACACCCAAAGAAGTTATAATAGGTTGCTGAGGTCCTGGTTGAGCCATGGCTTTATACCTAAGGGGCTTTACTGAGGAGCTGTTGTGGGTTTGCAAGGCTGATGTGAGGTTTCTGTGCAAGAACAGTCTGTAGGACTTCAGGGGTCTATTGCAAGCATGCAGGAACTGAGAATGAGAGCTGCAGGGAAAGTGGTTTTCAGCACGTGGAAGCTCAGCTAAGCAGGGAAGAGCAAGTTACACTTCTCCTAGGTGTCTAGGGAGAAATCCTAAGTGGCAATTTTTTTTCTGTGGCAAACCAGCCTAATCATCCCATGAGCTGAGGAAAACTCAGTTACAAGGAAAAACTGGGAGCTGGTAAGGTAGACCATTCTGCTCAACTTTTCATCACCATCTCTGCTGGGCTGAAGGAGGCACAGGGAGCCCAAGCAGTATTTTTCCCTATTACCAGGCTGCTAGATGGATTTGAGTTTGGGTTTTAATAGCAGTAAAATAATTGCATATTCCTTTCCTGTCATTTGTCCTAGTTGTGCTGGTGTTTGGAAGTGGATGATGCTTGAAGGGCGATTTGGGACTCTGGCTGAGACCAGACTTGGTAAGGGATAACCTGCCTGGGCAGGAGCTGCAGCCTCAGACCCAGTCTGGCTGTAGCAGACAGCAAGGTGCAGAGGAAGCCAGGCTGTCCAACATAACACCCATCTCCTAAACCCAATGAAGCAGAGAGATCAGTGTCAGTCAGGCACAGAGGGAGGTTTGTCTCTGCAAAAGTCTCTCTGCTTCCCCTCTCCTCATCCTGACATTCCTTAGACCCTGCAGAGGTGCCTATGGAGAAGCCAGGTGTAAAAAGATGAAGGTAGGTATCATTCACTTCAGTGGCCCTGCAGTGCTTGCCAAAGCCTCCTAGTGCAGAGTTTTGTCACGTCTGTGCAGGCTTTCACCAGAAGGCATTAAATTTTTGAAGTTCCAAGGTAGCACAAGAATAGGAAGCAATACCCAAACTGAATGCTATCCCTAGCAAGCTGCTAACAGAGTAGGGAACTGGAGTGGGACCTAGAAACACCAGGACAGAAGTGCCTGTCACCAGCACAACCCAGGAGGTAAGTGATGGGTCTGTCTCCTTCAACAGAGAGGGACCTGGCATTACACTGTGTCCAGCCTTGCTATCCAAAGGGAAACAGTGATTTGCACTCACCTCCCCTTCAAGCTTTTCCCAAGCAGCCCTCACACCAAGAGGGATTTCCTGACGAGGCAAACAACTCTCCCTATCAATCTGGGCAATTACAGAGTAGGTTATAGTAATTTCTCCTGTTAGGTCCTCAAGAGACTGTAGGCCATCATGGTCCTGATGGGCCTCACCTGGGACCCCCACCCACAGCCTCTGTCCAGGGACTCGATCTCAGCTCTGTCCAGGGTTGCTAAGCTCTGCCCCAGTGATGGGAGTGCTGGATTTTCACCTCAGCTGCAGCCCCACATGTGCTTATTTATGGGTCCTGTTTGTGTAGACTCTGATCCGGAGACTGACTTCTGAGCTTTTTGACCATCACAAACATGTTAATGGTCTGGTCTCTGAGTTGCCACCACCTCTTCCCCTGCCCTGCTCCCTGAGTGGTGGTGCCTTGTCCAGGCAACCAGGGAAGTCCCCCCTGGCTCCCTATGCCTTAGGGAGCAGTCCATCCTGTCTACATCCTAATACAATTAAAAAAAAAAAAAAATTAAGAAAGAACCCACCTGAACAAGACTATGACTTGTGAACTATGACTATGACAAGACTTTGTGGCTTGAAGTGGGCACAAGTTACTCAAACTTCACGAAGCACTATACACATACACCCCATATGTCGAGCACTTCGCTATGCAATTTCTTTTGCATGCAGTACTTGCAAGATATATTTGTCAGTAAGATAGAGATGAGTAAGAAAATGCTAAACAAACAAAAACGTAAAACAAAGATGATGAGAATAATAATAAAAAAATACACAGATTATGTAACTATGAAGAAGTTTCAAGATGTTTGGGGAAGAGAAATTAATTCAGACACAAAGCGTAGGATAAGTTATTGTTAAAGACACAGCACAGCAGACATCAGTGGAAGACAGGTCCAGAAAAGACAGTGCTTCAAGTGTCCTTTAATTTCTTCCAAATGCAAATAATTATTTTAGTACCTAGATTTGTGAAACTGTGAACCGACATGAAGCTTGAGAAGGCCAGTGAGTACCTGCGTGACAGCTCCTGCGTTAGGCACCGTCGCCTCCAGCAGCCAGGGCAGGGGCCGCCCCTACATCTTATCTCAGGTGTTTAAGCGAAGCTGAGTGCCCGTCCCGAGCGGACGGCACCGCCGCTCGGTGTCCGCTTTCCAGGGAGGCAGCCAGCGGTGCGCCCGCCGCGCTCCTCCGGGGCCGTGGGGGCTCCGCGGGGACCTCCACTGCTCCTGAGCGAGCGCGGAGTGCAGGGAGCCCTCGGGAAGGGGGCAGCAGCGGTCTCGTGTAATTCATTCCCCCCGAGTCTTAGTGGTATAAACGGGGCTTTAGAAGTCGAATCAGAAGCCAGGACCAGGTGCGCGCCGCCGTTGCGAGCGGTACTCGAGGCCGGGATAGGAAAGGGATGCTCGCAGGTCTCCTGCCTCCGGGCAAAGGGGACCTGGAGCCAAGAGCTCGTTGCCCTCGGCTGTCGCTTACCCCGGACAAGGAGGCGATAGGCAAGGCAGCAGCTGGGGGAACCACCTCGGGGCAGGGCGACTTTGGGGCACTGAGCCTCCCACCTCCAGACAAGCAAAGCCGCCGGTCCGGCAGCCGGGACTGGTGCTTGTAGAGCGGCCCCTCCCTTTAAACGCGACCCGGAGCAGAGGGCAGCCCCCGGCGCAGGAACAGACGCAGCTTTGGAGGAACAGCCAGGCTCGGAGGGCGAGTGGCCCCGGGGCAACGGTGCTCACCGAGGGCGCCCAGCGGAGCGGCCTCCCTCCCTTCTTTGCCCTGTGGGCACGGCACCCACAAGAACGCTTCCTGGGCTCCCGGAGAATCTCGGGTCAGGTGCCGGATGTTTCCAGGTTTTGGGAAACTCCTCCTGAGACCCACCAGACTCCCGGCGCAGAGGGCGGGCGGGGCACCAGTGTCAGCTTCGGAGTGGACAGCAAGCGCGGCTCCACGAGAGACGCGGCGATGAGCGCGGGGGGCCGGGGAGGGAATGTGAGGCTGTGAGGCGGGTTCCTGCACAGAGAATGCCCCTTAGGCACCTGCCGAAGGGGGCTGAATCAGATGATTGGGTGTCAGCGAAGGAGCGCGGAGCAGACGGCGGGAGCCGCACCGCAGCGGCGGGGCAGTCGGGGAGCTGGGGGGCTTCTTGTGTCCGAAACGGGAACCCGGGACCCCCGTCAGACCCGCAGAGACACCACGGCTGGCCTCCCTCCGGCACGGGCGGGCTTTGTTCTAACAGCGACTGGGGGGGAAGAAATGCAGCTAAACAAACAAAAAAAATCAATCACACACACAAAAAGATTGTTTTCGGCCTTAGCAGGTGTATTGTCGTGTCGCCCCCTCCTCCTCTTCCTCCCTCCTCAGTTGTCCCCTGTGTCTGTTCCCTGGTAGGGGCGCCGAGCGAGCAGCTGAGAAGGTGGTGAATCCACCCCGGGCTCCGTCCAGCAGCAGCTGCGACAGGGCACGAGTTCTTTCTCTTACTTTCGTGCTTATTTTCACGTTTTTCACTTGGCTTCTCCCCCTCTCTCAGCAGCGGCACATCGAAACGGGTCCCACCATAAACGAGCGGGGTTTTGTCCCCCTCCGTGTCCGGCGGACACCTTCCTGTCGCCATGGCGAGCCCGGCGCACCCCAGTGCAGGGAATACAGCACACAGGAGCCCACACAGAGACCGGCTCCTCGCTTTGCTCGAGGTTACCTCCCAATACACCGACAGAAAATGGAAACAAAAAATAAGTTAATTGCTCCTGATCCTATTTAGGAATCTTAAAAATAAATAGCTTCCCCCAGCCAAAGAGCGCAAGGCGTTCATTTAGCAGTATCGGGGCTAAACATTTGTTGAACTGGGAAAGGAACAAATGAGAAAGTGTCATTCATGGCTCCAGCTGCCGCTGGCCTCTCCCAGCCACTTCCACCAAGGGCCCTTTGGAGTTGATGACACCGCTGGGTCCCCTCACAGGCGGACTGATTAGATTAGACGTGATAGCTGCAGTCCACGTTCGGAGCTGGCACACTTAGCCAAATCGCTCGCATGAATTACGGGAGGGCCGGAAGCGCTGCTTTAGAGGGTCACTTGTAATTTCGTTTATATGTGATTAAAGGCTTTATACATGAAAAGGCTTAATTTGCACCAGTTTGGTTTTCGATTTAGGGGGGTCTGTACGAAATGTACTGTACTGCCAAACTTTGTTTTACCTCCGGGAGCACTTGTATTTTGCGGGCCAGTGTTAAATGGTTTTCTTTTGTGATGGATTCGGTTACAAATAGCAATACTTTATTATTTTGCTTGCGGTGGAACTGCTATAGAAGGACGCCAGCACACCCTCACTGTATGGAAAGACGACACATAGTCTCCGAAGGCATATACACACACTCACTCACATATTTATATTATTTTCTTCCACCGCAGAAATTATCAGTGGAGAAAACGCCGAAGTGTTACGG